ATATGTTAAAACATCTCGTTCTGCCTTTGTGTGTGTTATTGAATCAACATTTCCATCTTTTTTTTCGGTTCGTAATTTTAATTGCGATTATTTGGGTCCTTTTTTGCGCTTCAGCGGAGAAGCACTCAGTTGGTAATTGTTATTAACAATAATAAAACTTTTCTTGCAACTTGGTAACTTGTCGGGTTCATGTCCGCCCTCGACTCGGCCGTTGTGTTACATTGGTAAATATTTTCGATTAGTATGAAAATAATGATAAATAAATGTTAAGGTAACTACAAAAATGACCGTTATGCAATATACATATATAACATAGATACCACTTGTATTGAACCATTTAAGTTATTATAACATATAAAATATAATCAAAAATTTAACAGTCTCTCTTTCGATATTTTTTTGGATAAAAAATCAAATCCTCCAATCAAATCAAAGAATCCAAATTTAAACAATCGTTAGAATCTCGTATATTGGTTACACAGTTGGACAAATTAATGACTTTGACAATTTTTAAAAGCTTTCCATGCGAAACACGGAATGGTAAATCTGTCAAAAAATAAACAAAATAAAAAGTACATTAAGTGTTTTTTCGTTTGCCTTTTTTTCTTTTCAATAACATTAGTACGGTTAGAAAGGCCAAAATGAATGAAATATGTCCGTTGCATTTTGCGTAATATGTGATCTAGCTCCATCAATAATGGTCCACGATTTTATTGTATATACGAGGGTCACTTGAAAAGTTTCCCACCTAAGAATGACACAAGATATTTTTTCTTCATTTCTTTTATTTTTTGAGGGTAATCGATTAAGCTGCCTCCCAAAAAACAGTCGCCATTCCCTGCCGAAAAAACAGTTTTTGCTTTTTGGTGTATCCAAGTTTCATCTACAGTAATAATTAATCGGTGCCAAAACTCGGATATATTACGCCTAAACCGCGCTAACAGAGAGATGGAAACATTCATTCAACATGTTTTTGGTCAAACGTGAGTAAACGCGGCACGCGGGAACGCGAGGACAGCTTTCTCAATTTTAATTTCAAATGTGACAAACACGTTCTTCGGACATTTTCATAACCTCTGATATCTCGCTGACTGTAATTCGACGGTCGTTTTTGGACTTCCCGACCGGGCATCTTCTCCTAAGCTCTTACGGCCATGTTTAAATTCAGCTGCCAAAAATTTTACGGTGGAGTCCAATTCAACTTTAATTTGCGTAGGCGTATTATGGAGCATTTCCTTTATCTGCTTTTAGGATTCAGGCTTTGCAATATTGAATTTAGGAGGTTTTGATTTTTTAAGGATTTTTGCGTTAGCAGATTCGACTCAGCAAAAACCGACGCAGGAGGAATCCAGAAGTTTTATAAAAAGTATTACACAGTAGCCTGTGGGAGTTTCATTGAAAAATTAACTCTATACATATTTTTTTCCATTTCAGTTTATGATAAACGAGCGTGTTTTTTAAAATTATGAATATTCTAATAACCAAATAAAAACCCACTTCAGTAGGTACTGCCAAGTCAGCTAAAATCAGTTTTCATTATACTTTACGATTCAGGAAATATTTAAAAACGAAATATGTCACGCGACGTATAAACATATAGGCATCTAAATTTGATTGTAATGCCATGACTGGAATACTTAATAATCAATAAATAAATCCCATACAATTTTCGTTTCATATGATCCTATATTATAATTATATATTACCGCTAACTATGCATATTACTTACGTTTAATTACAAGCCTCTCTCCCAATATACTGGTCCACGGAGCGTGCAAAAAACAAGTCTAAATTTAATTTGGTGCTTCAATATTTATAAGTTAATAAAAATATCGTTATAACGTTTGCTTCGGCCTGTCTTTAAAATTAAATTTCATGTGTCAACGATTGAAGGAAGTTATGCCGGAACGAGCGAAAGTTAGGCACCGGAAGTTTGACAGCGACCAATGAATGAGAATGAGCGGACTGTAAGGTGGCCATTAACTTTTATGAATCAACAGACATTCTAACAGTGTATACGCGGACGAGCGTGGCAAACAAACATATAGCGTATCTAGCAAAAGAATGGACAATACGTGAACTATGTGTTTTTTGGTCATACAATTTCTACATCAGAAAGTGCTTACTGCGCAGTCTATTGGACATAGCCTGGTTATGGTATTTCGGCACCAAAAACCCCGATTAAACTAAATTTAGCTGAATAATTTTGGTCCAAAGGTACGTTTTTAACGTGGGGTCCATTCTTTAACATACACGCTATATAGCTATAACATGTACATATAACATAGTATGTATCTAAAATAAAGACTGACAATTATATTTCCATCATCATAAAGTAGCTACTCCCTATCATGTCGGAACAAAATCATCTAACACTTCTTCAAAGCATGATAGGAAAACATGAGAACAGATTTGAAGGGTTCAGGTAAATTTTTTTTTAGTAAACTTGCTGTTTACTTTAAAGCCCAATTTTCGTTTATTTTTAATTTACACTGTGATGGTATTTGTGACAATGGCACAAGCCGTTTGACTATTACATTATAACAAGCATCCCTAGAATTAAATATACAGGACTTTCAAATTAAGAATATATTCTTTATATTGTATTTTGTTATATTTTGAGTGTGTGGTTTGTATATGAAATTGTGTTTCCGCTTATACCACACTTAGTCCCTATACCTTACCACCTAATGATTGGTCTGGCGTTGATTTGGGGATGAAACGAATAAAATGTTCCGAGACACTTAGTAAACAAAAAAAAAACAGTGTATAAACGGAACAAAGCCGAAACTGTTCCTAAACAACACGTGCTGAAATTTTAAATAAAAGTTCAACCAGACAAGTTCCATTGTTTTAAAAACTTATTAATTCCAAGGCCATGAACTTCGCTTACAATCGAGCTCCGTATTCTCGTAATGAAGATACAACCACAATTATTAATAATAATAATAAATGGCGAGAAATCGTCGCACATATGTCATTCCCTCATTGGTGGCCATAAATTACGAATAGAATTAAAATAGGTTTCTTGTTACGGCGGAGTTCTTATTTATTTGTTCGACAATAAATATTAAAAATCATGTTGAAATTAATACGTGGCCAATGATAACGTGCTTTTTTTCAAAAATTTCACGACTGTTAATTTGATTTTATCAACTTTTAAAGCGTTTAACTTTTCATTCCAAAAAACTATGAATTATGATGAATACCTCACGACACTTGATTGATCTAAAAAGCCTTCAAAGTTTAAAAACCATCAAATGTTTGTGCATTGTGTCATATTTTTGATGGTTATACGGCGCATTATTAATACAGCTATCGTGTTGTAGCTCTAGTGACCCAAGGCTGATTTTTTATTAAATAAAAGATGGCACAAATAGAAATGTCATAACTTTTTTGAATTTATAAATAGAGGGTGATTTCAAAATTTTTGCATAAAACAGAAACTTGTGAAATAACTACGACAAAAAATTTTTAGAACACCAACTAAGTATGTGCAACTTGCTGTTTAGAAAGAAAATGGCACAAAGTGCTGGTTGGTGCGAGAAATTTAGAGACATGCGTGGAAAATCATCAATTTTTACCATAGTAGGGTCACTTAACTAATATTAACGAGAAGGTGAAAACTGGTCTGGGTAGTTTTTTCTACATAAGATCCAGTAGCGGAGTCATTTTTTTTTTGAAACTCACAAATTTGGATATACAAACTAAACTTTTTTCTTCTTGAACACCATATACGTCCTTGTAAATATTTTATTAGGCTTATTATGATGTTTCCAAAAATATGCAACACATAACTTTATTTACGAGTAAGCCACGGAAAAAAGGTATCCGTTTTTCTAATATAATTTAGTTGTCAAACAGTTATGACAGTTCGTAATTATTATTTTAATTTTTGCCTTCTTTTACTTTGGCTCATGTTAATCCGAAATATGACAATTAGGAAAAATTAAATTCACATTCAATATTGCCTTTATTTTGGCAGGTCACTTTTTGTTATATATTATATAATTTATCTAAAAAATCTGTATTTTCCATGGCCTGCTCATACAAAAAATAAAGATAATTGTTTAGTATTATGTTTAAATGTGTTATATATTTTTCAAAAGCTAACAAAAGGCTAATAAAATTATGAAAACATAGAGTTTAGTTTATATATCAATGTTTGCAAGTTTGAGAAGAAAACTGACTAAGTCACTGAATCCTACGTAAAAAACCTTACCCATATAAGTTTTCACCCTTTCCATAAGATTACGCATAACTGAGCTGCAAAGCTGTAAAGGGTGCAAAATTGCAAAACTTCCAAAATCACTGAAAATCCAATATAGCAATGACATTTATGTTTGTGTCACTTTTCTTTAATGAAAAATTTGCTTTGGGTCAAGAATTCAGCAACACACTAGTTTTATTAATAAGGGAGATACGCCGTAAACACATCAAAAATGGGATACACCGTACAAATTTACAAAGAAATTAAATCTCAAAAATTGGTTGTTGCTCTTAATACATGAGTACAGTAACCTAAATAAAATAGAAAAAAAAAATGCAAAAAAATTTAGTTTACCACCTTGTGCAAAAAAAAAACTTTGCAATATAAAAAACGTTTACAAGAGTCCAACGATAGTCGACAAAAAAAAGCTTCTTACATTGGAAAAACAGTCCAGAATTGTCAGGTAAGTCCAATCAACTACGCTGATTTAAAATTGCTAAATCTGCGATCATAAAATGGATGCAAAGAGAATCCCGATAATCGTGGAGATATATACTAGGAGGACAAAGACAGGCCAAGAAATTTCACAATTTCACAATAGTTCCTTTGGGTTCCAGTGAAGGGTAGGCCAATTTGTAACTCTCCGAAATTTGAATCTTGAATATAACACGTGGCGTGTGCTGTCCTGTATGGGTTGTGTCGCATGTACGATTTGCACCAAACTTTTAAATTCTCTCGTTTCACATTTTCTACTGGTGCTTGTACTGTATTACGGGTCCAAAGTACTTACCGTCGTGCAAGAAGTTATTGTTCGTAGGAGCCGATGGTGGTGCTGCGTTGGAGTGACTGGAAGGTGGAGGGCTGACGGTGGTCGCTGGTTTTCGATCTTCCAGCGGGTTTACTCCAGGCGCTTGAGTATAGTCGATATAAGGCGCTATCTCGGGAACGCACATGCTATCGTACATGCCCGGTGCTATAGCGTTCGACAACGTTCGTTCTCGTTCGACGTCTAAAAAAAATGTCACGTGGATATTTCGTTTACGGTGGAAAGGCAAAAGGTCATAAGAATAACTATTGGGACGATTTAAAGTTATTTTTTTTTTAATTTCTTAACTTAATTAATTGCAAAACTGGCTTGATATATAGTAAACTTGATATTGAAGATATTGTCAAGTAAATAAAAGGTTTAATTTACCTGCAAAAGTCATTAGAAAAACTACCCAAATGATAGTCGAAGGAATAACACTAAATTGCGGGAATAAAGTACAACGTTTTAAATACTTGATTAATAAATCTGAGTTGGACAGTGACACGATAATTAAACCATCATCGACAAATTATTTGATTAAGTATTCTTGTGTTTTGATAATGATCACCATTTATTTAAGGAACAAGTTAATACATTTTTGAAAGAGAAAAAATAGGCTAATCGCAAAGATCACAGACAAGGCTATCAGAGTAAAACAGCTTATGCAATACTACAGAAAAGGGGATTTCCTTTGAAAGTGCCCAATTTGGCTCATCCTGTACATTTTTTGAATGTGTATTGTGAAAAACAGGGTACGTACAGTGAGAAATAAATAAAACGCCATAGAAAACAAACTTGCAAATCATAATTTTTCAATTGATTCAAACAATCACAATCTCACAATATACACAAACCTTTCTGTAGCAGTTCCAAGTGCTCCCACAAGATGTCGCCTACGAAGGCGGGTGCGCGCGCAGCGAACGCGTCTTTGCCCATCGCGCAGATGTCTTTGCCTTTCATTCTGAACTGGTGAAGCGGTATACATTCCAAGGAGAACTCCTTTGCGGCCCACTGCAACCAATGGGCCACGTGATTTTCGGTCCACTGACGAGGATCTGCAAGAAATTGCGAGTTATATATATATATATTGAAGTGTCTTTTTATATATTGCCTTATTTTAGGAAAAATTGAAAATACTCTAACAGATATTTCAAATTTAATCATGACTACTGTTTAATGGAATAAATATTACGAACTGCTTTTCGGTGAACCACGAGGAGCTTTGGATTTGGATTTTTCCATGTCGATGATGACAGTATACGTCTTTAGTTACACCAAGTGGACAATTTGAATTTTTACAATGTCCTTTCAGTTTATATATCAGTCCAGCAGTTTTCCGGCGTTTCATAACTCACTTTTTGGAGAATTATGTTAGGCAAATATAGCACTGTATTTTAAGTTCAACTGAAGAAGGTGTCAAGAATCTAGAACAAGCTTTAGAAGTCGCTAGTTGGTTTTGGGACAGGAAATTAAGAAAAAGAAGTGTCAGTTTCTGAAAAAAAAAGGGTAAATTTTCTAGGCTTTATTATCGAAGAGGGAAAAGTTCAACCCTCTGATGAAAAAACGCAAGTTATAAAAAAAATTACAGAACCAAAGAATGTTAAGCAAATATAGTATTTTCTTGGCTTGACGGGTTATTTCAGAAAATTTATTTATTCATACGCTTTGATTTGATTGATTGATTGATTGAAGTGATTTGCTTAAAAAGGACAAAGTATTGACAAGCTTTCGAAAAGCTGAAACAAGTATTGACTGGTGAACCAGTCTATATATTTATCGACACGATGCTGAAACGCAGCTACATACAAATGCTAATCAGCATGGCTATGGGGGCGTGCCTTGTGCAAAAATCGAGTGACGATGGAAAATTTCGTCCTATTTACTACATGAGTAGAAAGACAACGCTGGCAGAAGAGCGCTACAGTAGTTATGAGCTTGAAGTGTTGATCACTATCAACACGTTGAAAAAATTTCGAATTTATTTATTCGGAATAAAATTTAAAATTGTAACAGACTGTAGAAGAGTACTCCTACGAGAATGAACATCGAAGTGGTAGTGGCATGGATTATGTGGATACACTAAGTAGATATCCTGCAGTAATGGTAATCGATTAATTGAGTTGTGAGAAAAATGGCATCATACACATCATTCAAAGACTTAAGATAGCTCCGGAGAAAGACGAATTTGTGAATGCTATTAGAAAAATAGTTACTACTAAAAACTACCAATATTTTGTACTAAAAAATGACATTTTATATAAATATGACGATGGTTTAGAATTAGTAGTGGTCCCTAAAGCGATGGAAACCGAAATAATAAGAAAAGCATATGAAATTGGACATTTCGCTGTTTCCAAGACGCAAGAAGTTATAAAAAGGGAATCCTATATTCCAAAATTAACGGAAAAGGTTCAAATTTCTATTAAGAGTTGTGTGACGTGCATATTAGGAAATAAGAAAAAGGGTAAAAGGGAAGGATTATTACACTCTATAACTAAGGGCGAAGGTCCACAGACCATTTAGGATCTCTACCTTCGACTAACAAGAATTACCAGCGCATGTAATAGACTAAGTTTGTATGGTATGCTACTAAGTCCACGACATCGCATGAAACAATTGAAAAAATGAAGTTACAGCAGAGAACGTTTGGCAACCCAGCTAGGACCATTTTAGAGAAAGGGGCCGCCTTTACCTCGAATGAGTTCCAAGAATATTGCTACGACGAAAGAATGCCAATGCCCGAGTTCCAAGAGGAAATCGGCAGATAGAAAGAATCAATCGCATTATAATTGCAATTCTCAGTAAATTAAAATGGATGATCGAAATAAATGGTTTAAGTAAATTGATAGAACTCAGAGAGCCTTAAATTCTACTTCACAACGCAGCATATATTACCTACGCCTTTTGAAATTTTGATAGGTGTTAAGATAAGAAATAAGGAAGATCTACTAGTTAAGGAAACGCTAGAAAAAGAAGCATTTGAAGCGTTTAACAGACAGAGACGAATTAAGGGATAATTGTAAAAAACAGATATTAAAAGTTCAAGAACACCGGAAACAGTATAATTTAAGGAGGAAATATTTTTGGGCCCATATGATCGTTATGACTTGGTGAAAGTTGGCAACACTGAAGGGCCGTATCGAACATCAGCTTGTGCCGAAATTATGAATCCATGGGAAGAAAATTTTATTAAATCCGAGGCGGATTCTTAGTAGAGCGGTCGAGTGTAGATAAAATATCATATCCTTTAGTTTAGTTTTCGCCAGCGCAGTATTTATTTATTTATTATTTCGGCATGCAATTAGAGAAGGCTATGTTTGCATTATTTCTTTTAACGGACGTGAGTCGAAATCAAAAGGAAGCCGCTTGGCGGTGGTTCCTGGAGTTCGGGACTAGTTTTTGATGCGTACCGACAGGTTACAGGTGAGTATGACTAAAGTAACCATACGTCCCGTTTTGAACGGGACTGTCCCTTTTATAGGTCACCTGTCCCGTTGTCTCCAAACAAAGCTCCGGGACGCAAAATTGTCCCGTTTTGTGAAACAGCGCGAAAATTTAAATCATGTAGATCACGAAAAACGTGCGGGCGGGGATTCACAGACGATTCGCATCACTGTCGATCGGTGATTCCCCCCGCAGGCTATTTACGCGCACGCACTCAGACTTCTCGTTATTGTTTTGTTTTTACGTAACGTTAGTGAAGTATTTTAGTGATAAACTGCTATATAATTATTTTTTTATATTGTTTTGGATTTTTGCCTATAGTTATGCCGAAACGCAAGTGTTCATTTAATGTCAACTTACAAGCAAAATACCCTTTTATTAAGCAAACTAATACTCCTTCAGATGTCAGATGCGAAAAGTGTCGCACAGAGTTTAATGTTTCCCATAGTGGTGCTGGTGATATTGAACAGCATTTGAAGTCAGAAAAACATAAAAATGCCGATCGTGCCGCTGCTTCCAGTTCTTCAATGTTAAATTTTTTCAAGAACCCAAACGCGCCAACTTTAAAGGATTTGATATTGCTGCTGCAGAAGGCGTCTGGGCTTATCACACCATACAAGAAAACCACAGTTTTCGTTCCAATGATTGTGCGTCGAAATTAATTCAAACATGTTTTGATTCGAAATTCACATGCGCGCGTACAAAAACCGAAGCTATTGTGGTAAATGTTTTAGGGCGTTCAGCGATCGACAGTTTAAAAGATGATCTTAATAAGTCCAATTGTATAACAATTTTAAACGACGCTTCAAACCACGGAAAGAAAAAAAATTATCCTTTCGTAGTGTGCTTTTTTCAACCTTATGAAGGTGTGCAAGTAAAAATTTTAGACATTCAAGAGCAACCAGGTGAAACTTCTGACATCATTGTAGATTATTTACATCAAGTATTAATAGATAATAATTTGACAAAAAAAGTCGTGGCATTTTGAGGTGAAAATGCTAATGCCAATTTTGGAGGTGTAGCTAGGCGAGGAACTAACAATGTATTAGCCAAGTTACAATCACCTCTGAAAAAACCGTTGATAGGCATTGGATGTGGAGCCCATATAATTCACAATGCAATAAAATCCGCTGCAGATGATCTATACCTTTAGACTACGAAAGCATTATTGTCAAAATATATTCATTTTTTTATATTTACACGGTTCGAGTGGAAGCTCTCAAGGAGTTTTGGTTAGTTTGGCGCTGAAGCTGAAATAGAACATCACCAAATGCTTGGCTACAGTAAAACCAGGTGGCTTGCGCTTATGCCTGCTTTGGAGAGAGTTTTAAAAATGTTCCAACCATTAAAAGACTATTTTTTGAGCACTGAAAAATGTCCCAAATTGTTGAAAAACTTTTTTGAAGATCCCACGTCAGAATTATGGCTTAATTTTTTACACGCTCAGTCAGCAAGTTTTCATCAAGCTGTATTGAAGGTCAGACTGTATCGGCAATTGATGCGGCAAAAGAAATCAATCATCTCAAACACAATTTGGCACAGAAACAGATCAACCGGTTTCTTCGATTTACTGTTCGTAGTTTAATTGTGAAACTAAAAGATAATGGCACTAATATTAATGAAGACTTGGTGAAAAATACGGCAACAGAATTTTATAAAACTAGCCGTGAATACTTGGAACAGTGGACTTGCTTTTTTACTAAAGAAATTGAGATATTTAATTGGGCAGATTTAAGAAAAGTACTCGCGTGGGAAGATATTCAAAAAGCAGTGGATATATTGATTGAAAAGGGATATATTCAATGTAATAAAGATACAGAAGTATTTGACGAATTCACATTAATTTCAAACTACGTCACTACCCAAAAAATTACCGAATGGGGTAATTTAAAAGTCTCAACAGAAACTCGTCGGGTGGAAGTATTCAAACACTTTCGTTCTAACAATCTTAAACATGAAAATTTTTGTATTTTCATTGAATACATTTTATGTCTACCTGGAACAAATGCTCCAGTAGAAAGAGTCTTTTCTCTCATGAACAAACTGTGGACATCCGAAAAAAATCATTTGCAGGTCCAGTGTCAGCGATGTTGATAACTAAGGTTAATGTAAAAAAAACGTGCCAAGAATTTTATTCTTATTTAAAGTCATCGCAAACTTTATTAAAGCAAATTTGTTCCTCTGAAAAGCATAAAAACAATTTAAAAAAAAATGCGTTGCATAGATTTTAATAATTATTGACAGATCAAAGTTCCTTGATTAGTAAAGCTGGTGATTGATGTTAATTTTTCACTACTTATTATTTTTAAATTACTTAATTAATATGAAAATAATTATAGTGTATAATTCCATTAAGTAACACTTATTCTAAATAAAGAAAATTAAAAAGTTGTGTTTATTTTCTTTGTTAGCCTGAAGGCTAAATGTAAAGGTCTGGCGGGAAATTTAAATTTTAAACAGTTTTTAAATATCGATTTAGAGTAACGTAAAGAAATATTTTTTATTGTCGCGAAATCGAAAACCCTATCTAAGTTTTGCCTAATTTGACTACAATTTAAAAAAAATACTGTTTAAAATTTGAATTTCCCGCCAGACGTTTAACCTGAAGCTT